AGCGGCGGCAGCCCTTAAATATTATCAGTATGTTACTGTTATTGCCTTGTATTTTTTTGAAAATGCGGCATCCCCTTCACGACGTCACATCTCTGATTGCATCGCGCCTTCACGAAAGACGAAGGCGCAGGGGCGGGCTCACGGATCAGAGGCACGGCGAGAGCTTGAACGAATATGGCCTGGGAACTGCAACCGAACCGGCAGAGATCCTCCCCATCCATCTATCCATCCATGTTGATCTATTTTGTGTGGTGCGGCTGCCACAGGTCCAATGCTTTTGCTTTGCTTTATGGGGGTGGACGAGCGAACCACCATGCCACATGGCCCCCAACAATCTTTGGTATCGAGTATGGTTCTTGAGAGGCTGGGTTTTAGCAAGAGTCCACAAACAAAGTCCAGCAAACAATGGATGAGTCATAATCAGGGTTCCCCTCTACTCGTCACATCGTTGTCTTGGGGTTTTTGAGGGGTGCGCAGGGGCCCTGGGTAGCAAACAATCTAAGCAAGCAAAAGGTACAAGCAAAGGGTAACAGTCTTCAGGTTGCCTTGGTTAACCAAAATGACCTCGCAGTCTGCATGTTTCCCTCTCTGCCCTGGCTGCTACTACGCAACCATGATAAAAGTGCTGCATCAACATGAAGACACACCATCTTGACAAACCAAAGGCATTGACAGGCTTCGCTGTCAGACACAGAGTTCGTCTGCATGTTGATGCCGAGGAAGCATGTGCTGTCATGTCTCATTTCGTGAGAAGAACGACGAGACACGGAAGCAAGAGCTATGGGACCCGAACCCAAGGAGGAAGCCTCCGAACCGCACCTGGTGCAGAACCCACAGAGATGCACAAATCCTGGTTGGCTCAAGGAATGGATCTGCAAGGTGATCATGATGGAGACGGACAGATGATGGCTTTCAGCGGTCTTCCTCCATAGCTCCGCTGGCTACGTCCTCATCTTCCTCGTCTTCACCAACCTGATAATCTAGAATCAGATGAGGACATTGCCGAGATCAATACACGGATAGACCGCCCAAGTTACCAGAACCAATAAGTGAGCAAGCGGCAGCCACGTGTGGAATCACGCTAGGGTGTAGAGAGCGCAACCAAACTCTGGAACAACGGCACGATCATGACTACTCTGGAGAACCAGCTGCAGGAGCAGGAGACCGTAGATGTGCAACGGAGAACAGATAACCATCCAGGTCGAGTCCAGCCATGGGCACCAGGCTGACCCGGGAACCGCTCATGATGGTAGAGGTGAGCATAAACCGGTTCAAAATGGCGAAGCATGAGGAGGACCTCGTGCAGAATGGATGGTGAGAACTCCTGCAGGAACTGATCTCACACAACGAGAGGCATGGAACCAGTAGTATAGATAGGACTGCACACGATCCCTCGGAAAGAACACATGCAAAGGAACTGATTACTTTTGCAGGGAGACCCGTCAGTACCTTTGTTTGGATGGTGTGTACCGTTGTTTCTCATCACTTGTGATTCCGCAATGAGGGAAACGGGCCAAGTGTGATGTCTTTTTGGGAAGCTGGGTCCAATGCTCTCGTCCCATCTGCTGAAAATCTACTCCGCATAGTGACTGGCAAGCCGCCACCAAAAGAGAGCAACAAAGCTAGCATTCTGACCCACACTGGCGAGAAGCCCCTCTGAGCAAGACTGCACTTTGTGCCAAGCTGCTGCTACAAGCAGCATGGCTGCACCACCGCAGCCAGGTTTATTCATGTTTGTATGCGAGTTAACTTTTCAGTATGCTTCAAACAAGATGTCTGCAAGGGCCTTAGACACTCAGCAGGCACTCATAAAGTAATTGAATCAGAACTAAATCCGTCATGAAACTCTGAGCGGCTGAAGGGTTTACCAGCCTAGAGCCGAAACAAGCGGCGACCAACATATGCACTTGCAAATTCAAGTTCAGAACTTGCCGTCGGAGCTTGTGGCGCGACGCGAGCTCATGGAACCCTTCTCATCAACGACACACGTCATGGTTGTCACCCATTAAAAAAAGATATCGTAATCAACAGATCTGTCATTGATGTTGTGGTCGCTCTTCTGCTTGAAGGCCACGCTATGCGAGGAACTCACGCTCTTGCCCAGCTCTCGACGCTCAAGGCTTTCAAAGGTCTTGAGTTAAGTGGGGTGGCACTTGGTCACTGGCAAAGTCATCTTGATGCATATGCGCACATGTTTACTTGGTTCTGCTGCACCTACTAGTTAAGCTTTGACCAAGAACCACGTCCAGGATTGCTCGGGGAGGCAGCTCGCCTATGAACACAAGACGAGTAGGGAAGGAGCGGAGCACTTTCCATCCATTACATACTCTAGGCGGCGCTCGAAGTCCCCCATCGTCCGGCAATTTCAAACGAAAAACTCAAAAAGTATTGGAGAGCTCTGGTGCTGCAGCGTCTTGTCTGAGAAGCAACCTGGCAGCTGCACTGCCAGAGCCTAGGAACATCAAGCGGAAAGGCTTCCTTCTTCGCTCTGCGAGGCCTTGCCTCGGAACCCTTCCGTTCACTGATACACTTTGCAAAGCTTTAACACAAGAGGCCCTCATCATAATTGCTACTCAGACGGGCGAGTGTTGACATTAGGGAAGTCTGTGCGTAGCTCTCTTCTGAAATATCCATTTGCTATCTTTTGCTGCTGCACCCGTGCTCAGTGTCCTTCCAGCTCGTCGACCTCGGCTTCATGATTGAGGGCTACTTCAAAGCAGCCTCTGACATGATCTGCAGGGAGGCCCTCCCCAGCCCGGCCTGGTTGACCCTTGTAGTTCATGGTGCGCGGCTGCATTTCTAGCATCCAGGCCCGGAAATGTCACAGCTTCGTAATTGTACAGCAGGTGACGTACAACACCGATACAGTTCCCCTGTGCTGTCTGCCAGCCACAGTACTTTTGCTCCAGTCTGCCAAGACCTCCCCACTTCCTGCCCGGCCCAGCCAAGGCAGGTACCGCCCTAACAGTCGAACTACACACCCGCGCGCTTCCACAGCAAGGATCTATGCTTGGCCTTTCCAAGTCGGCCACCTGCCGAAAGACCCTGTGCATGCTTGAGGCAGCCACTCTACGTCGCAGCTGAACCACTTCTTGGGCCAGTTCGCCCTAGCAGGGGTTGAAATCGACACTCTGTCTCACGTGGTGAGCTGACTGGCATGCCCAAATAAGCCACCACGCCGGGTAAGTTCTCAAAGCGTGTGAAAGCACTGCCTTCTCCAGCTCCAACTGCTCGATCCTCTTCTGCTGCTCCTCGAGAACAGTCTTCATCCAAGCTTCATGGTCTTATCAGCCTGGGGTCTCGGCTGCTGGAAAGTTACGGGTGAAAGATGCGGTGCATTCAAGGCATGGCTTGGAGTGTAGCTCGCATGACATGAGATACATGAGTCGCTCGCACCCTGCGGCCTGCAGCCGCATGTCCAAATCCTCTGGAAGCATAGGTGGGTTGTAGCCCTGAGAAGGCGGACAAGACAGATTCTTGTCCAGGGTTCCACTGGTTGTTCTCGCACAACAAACAACAATCAAGCCATGAACATGCGGTACTTCAACTCCCAGATGCAGAATTCCTGTTTTATTGAGGCGGCTCTCGAAAGAAGACCCTTGATGCTCGAAAACTCTCACGCTGGTCAGAGGCCTCCTCTGCCTTCTCAACAGCGTCCTGACAAGCCCATGCTCTGCAACCACTCGTCTGCAATTGGGGCCTTCACAAGAAGAACCGACAACAACATTCCCCCCCTTTATCTAGGAGGGGTAGTCCCCCCCCATGGGTGGGGTCAGAAATAGGTCTTGGGACCTATTGTTAGAGACATCATTCTCATAGGGGTGGTTGACCACCCTCCCTAGACCACCCTCCCTACTGCTGTCCCTAAAGAAACTTGCCTGACAATATATAACAATACACAAATATTCATACATGTACACCTCCGTTGGCGCCAAATGATCCTGCGCCAAGCGATCCCAAAATTGAGCCAACGTAGAATGGAAAATCATAATGGCATTAACTCTTTTTGGGGGTTGGGGCCCTCCTTCCCTGTATGTCCTGGCCACATATACCCTAGCCATTTTTGGGCGGCTATCGTGCGGGGCCGCTTTCTAGAGGACTCGTGTAGTTTGCCAGTAAGGAATGCGGCACATGTCAAATATTGTAGAACGTAGAATGGAAAACCATAATGACATTAACTCTTTTTGGGGGTTGGGACCCTCCTTCCCTATGCCCTGGCCACATAAACCCTAGCCCTGAGACCCTTTTCCGGGACCTATTTTTGGGCGGCTATCGTGTGGTGCCGCTTTCTAGAGGACTCGTGTAGTTTGCCAGTAAGGAATGTGGAACATGTAGAATATCGTAGAGCGTCGGATGGAAAACCATAATGACATTAACTCTTTTTGGGGGTGGGGACCCTCCTTCCCTGTATGTCCTGGCCAAATAAACCCCAGCCCTGAGACCCTTTCCCGGGACCTATTTTTGGGCGGCTATCGTGTGGGGCCGCTTTCTAGAGGACTCGTGTAGTTTGCCAGTAAGGAATGCGGAACATGTAGAATATTGTAGAACGTAGAATGGAAAACCATAATGACATTAACTCGTTTTGGGGGCGGGGACCCTCTTTCCCTTCCCTGTATGCCCTGGCCACATAAACCCTAGCCCTGAGACCCTTTTCCGGGACCTATTTTTGGGCAGCTATCGCGTGGTGCCGCTTTCTAGAGGACTCGTGTAGTTTGTTAGAGCTTCCAGAACCGTTAATCAAAGCCGCCCCACACGATAGCCGCCCAAAAATACGTCCCCGGGGAAGGTCTCAGGGCTAGGGTTTATGTGGCCAGGGCATACAAGGAACGAGGGTCCCCACCCCCAAAAAGAGTTAATACCATTATGGTTTTCCAGTCTACCTGGCTCAATTTTGGGATGTTTGGCGGGGGATCATTGGGCGCCGACGGAGGTGGTTCAATTTTGGGACCATTTGGCGAAGGATCATTTGGCGCCGACGGAGGCGGCTCCAATATAATTCAACATTACTGGAGAACATGTATTGCGGGACCTATTAAACATGTAGCGCGGGACCTATTATTTGAACCTGGACCCACCCTCCCGAAATAGGCCCCGGGACCTATTATAAATAGGTGGGAACCAAGGTAACCCACCCCCCCCCCCCAAAGACCTATAGATACGGGGGGGGATACAACAACAAACACGGATGATTAACACCGAAAACTTGCAATGCTCGTCTGTGTAGACTTGGGATCCCTGCAGGAACCGCCACTTGGAGCACAAAGCCTTGTTTTAATATGAGCTTATGGTCGGGTCCTCCGCTTCCTCGTCCATCGGGTCCGAGAAACCACCCAATCGTACGACCTCCTCGCAACGCATTTGCTTACTGTTCTGTGAAAGCCAGCGGCTCCTGCGATGTCATCTGTCATCTCCATGACTACATGACTAAAAACTGTTGCGACGGTCGCCACCTACAACTTCTCCCAACACTAGAGAAGCCGTAGAGGCCCGCTGTCCCACCATGTGGCAAGCGGAAGCTGAGGAAGCTAAGCTGGGCGCTGGGAGAATATACCACCGCCAGGCTGGGAGCACCACCGTTGCCTCAAGTGCTGAAATCAGCCTAAAGCAGCACTGGACCATTTGCCATGCTCATGATGCCGGATGCTATGGATCCTGCCAAGAGCATAGCCAACACCACCTTGATGAAAGATGGTGGCATGATTTTGCTCTCCTCACAAGTGCGCGGGCAAAGCTGGTTGCGATCCAAATCTGGTTGACGAGCTGTCCCGGAATTAAGTACTTCAGAATGCTCCTTCTCCGCCGTGTCATCCACTGCGGTGTCGAAGCTTTTTTCCCAGGCGAATCCGATCAACACACCCAGAGCCTCAGACAGCAACACTAAGCTTGCATGCTGCTGCATTTCGCCAGCCAGGGCCGCCGCTAAAATGGTACCGCGCATGGCAGCTCTTTTCCTGGCAGCCATCTCGCAAGGCTGCTGTAGGGCACAGTGGGGAGATGGGAGCATCTTTCGCTCAACTTCAACTCAGGCAAATCGCCTCTTCTGCAGCTTTGCCTTCTCCTGGTCTCTCCTGAAAAACAGAGGTTTACGCCCCTCAGTGCCTTCTCATATGCCTAAGTACCATGATGAAGCCAGCCTGTTGGGACTTGCACCAAGCGCCTCCATGGAGTGCTTGGTCATATCCGCCTGCATCTTCCAGCTAAGGCCATGATCTCTGCAGGGTAGGGTGGTGTATGGGGTAAATCAACAAACGCCCGTTCTGCTCCAAAGCTGCTTGACGCTGGCACCTCCTTGTCCAGGAAATAGATGACCTTCTGTCTTTGACCACACAACGCCAGGGACACAATGCACACAACTGATGTCTACATCGCCATGATGCAGAAGAGGATGTCAAAGTCTCATGATTGCTCATGCAGGATGTCAGCATCATCTCGCATCATCTCGCTAAGCAATCGTTTGCCGTGGTGTCAACATGGAATGCTTCTCTACGAATATTCATGCCGACCTGTAGACTGCTAGTGACACCTGCACCATTCGAACCTATTCTGAATTCATATGTCACCATGTAAAAAAAATCCACCCAACCTCTAATCCGAACGCAAGGAGCCTTGACCTTCAGAAATCCTAAATTCTCTCTTCAATCCCTGCATGGTTCAGCATCATCCTTGCACAAACAAGTCCATCAAGCTACCCAGAAACCTCAAAACATGACCCATCTCGAATATGCTGGTGCTGGGGCTCGGTCGGCAAAGGCCCAAACTGTGACTATGCAGGCGGTGATCACCTCGGCAGCGGAATGCTTGCCAAAACGCTGATGAACACCTTACTCATAAAAGCAAAAGGAACGATGATTATCATTCCACGGTTGTTGTGAATGGTGACAGCAGAGTAGCAGTATGAGCAGCAGCAGCAGCTGCTGCTGCTGCTACCGCCACTGCTACTTCTCCTACTGCAGCCTCTGTTTCACTTCTGACAGTAGGTTTTCTCTGCGTCACGCACGTTGTGAGGTTGTTTCGGGCCCCCCCTTTTGAAATTTGAAGGGGGTGGGCAGAACTGTTGTTTACCCTTTGTTTGACACGCATTATCCGATCAGTCCAATACTGTCTGAGGGCGGGAGGGGTTCTGCTTTGGATCTTGAGTTGCCTGTTGAAGATGGCGAGGCAGGCAGGCGGGTTCTCGCAAGGACGGCTCTCATCAGGCTGAGGGTCGTTCTGCCTACATTGGGAAACTGTGCAAGGAAGCCACTTTGGTTCAGCACTCTCCGCAGTACTTTGGTATGTACAAATGCCTTGGCGTTTATAGGCCCTGCATTCACCAAGGTAAGCGCATCTCCGACAACTCCGAACGCTGTGCCACCCAGACCAGCATTGGTCCTGGCACGCAGCGACAGCAGTCTGCAGAGCTCGGGTAACTTGATTGCAGATGGAATCTCTGGGAGCCCGACAGGAATGCATCTATACCGAACATGATTGTCCACGAAAAGGAAAAATCGCAGATCTCGGCTGATCCGCTTGTAAGACAGGCTGCCAGCAGGTACTGATGCAAGCTTGCTTCATGACTTGAGGGCCATTTCTTGAGTGGAAGACGAACACTAGAAGACCAAAAACTGCGCGGACTTTGGTTGTCACAGAAGGGAAATGTAGCGACCCTTTCGAGGACTTGATCTCAGTCTCGAGTGGGATTGCCAAGCCACTGCTCGCAGTGGCTCAGGACCTGGCCAATCGAAGCCACACCGCGTTGCGGCCATGGTAACTGAGCTCTTTCAAGTCGTCCAGATATGTGGCACTGTGGAGGTGTCTCCCTGATGAAGTTGAGTCCAGCACTTGGGAAAATAGACCGTTCGCACATAGGATGCGAAGGCTATCCTGAGCTCCGGCATTCCCCCCCTTTGGGAACTCGCATAGATTATTGTGGAGATGGATTTCCCCATCCCTAAATCCTCAGATCACACAGCTGCGGCTTCAGATGCCAAGGCTGACGAGTCGCAAAATGCCGACAATCATGAACAACGCTGCCTGCACTGGACATCGGAAACTTGAGCAGCTGAGGGTTGATGGAGCTCTGCATGACTCTGACTACACCACTTCTTGGCCATCACAGTGGTTCCCGTATAATGTGGAGGCGGGCCTGTAGCAGACATGTATCTGGTACACTTTATCCTCAAATGTCCTCACATGCTTTCACCATTCAATTTTCCAGCCTGCAAGTCGCTGGTGTGTGAGCCCTTGGGCATTTTTCCCTCCTCGTTTGGAAGGGAACCAGTTGCCCAAAGGCGGATTGTCCTGCCATGCGAATGTCTCCAAAATACAAATCCCTCCCAACAATACAACCCCTACTCCGAAACCCAAAAGATAGCAATAGTTTTGTGAAGATGCCAGATGGCTTCTTGGATCAGTGGACGCCTCCACGCTGAAAACATCTCAACACCGTTATACTTAGCTTCAAAAAAGAAATGATTGAGGTATCTGACGAAAAGTCAGCATTTCGAAGGTGCAAACCCGTCGGGCAGAAGACCAGGCGTCGGGTTCAGGGACAGTGCCTTTGTAGCCTATTAGAGCCTCAAAAGTAAGGGGCTCAGAGCAAGGGCCCCAACAGAGGCAAAGCTTCCAGAGATCCCTTATGTGAGCTCCTAGTATCCTCCTTAATAACCCCTATAGTAGTCCCTATACAATCCCCTATATGACCCCCCTTTAAGGAGTTTAGACTATGGCTGATGTGGGAAGGAGCCACGAAAAGAGCCACGGTCCATCAGAGTTCCCTGAGCAATCTTCCTGCGAGAAGCCCAAGCGGAGCGCCAGCACCACGATATGAGCTCAGTCTAAACTCCTTAAAGGGGGCTTTATATGCGGGTTATATACGGGGGGATTATATGGCTTGTATGGGCCTTAAGGGGGATAGTTACTAGGAGTCCAGACGAAAGCTCCATACACATGGCTCCTGTCATTTTGCAGGTATACGAGGGAACCTCAAGCATGATAAATGCTTACGTAGTACAAAATGTCTTGATTGAAATTGGCCGGGCGCGCTGCACCAGGAGAAACGACATTGTCAGGCCCATGACATCATCTTCTGTCTCCTCTGCTACGGGAGCATTCAAAATTTGAGGTGGGAGGCAGGGTGGGAGGCCAATCTCACTCAAATTGGCTATCCAAGACCGTTGAGCAGGTCTCACTCAATGTCGTGAAAGAAAACCAAAAACTCAGGGGGTCAATAAGGAGAAGAGATTCCGAGTCCGACTGCTGAACAAAAGAAGGAATAGCTTGAAGCCCAGCCGGTTTCCGACATAAGTTTCTGTCCACGAATGCATTTCAATTGCCACCTATCTGCAGCCAAATCAAAGCGCCCAACGTGCAGGAATTCAAGCTTGGGGCCTAAGGTCAAGCTTTAAACAGCACCGTGTTGCAATTCTTTGGGCACTTTAAAATGTGCGGAGTTTGGACATCATACGGCTCATGGACAAAATGGCGCATCAGCCGCCACAAGCAATGCATGGAGTCTTCATCGATTCGCTCCCCTCGCCCCGCCACTTTCAATGTTGATGAAACGGGTGAGTGATGCAGGGTTTCGTCCATTTACGCACATGCCCTCGCTGACTGTTTTGGGCAATGATAAAAACATTAGGTGTTTGCAAGGGACACTTACAGAAGAAACTGATGCAGGATTTCGTCCATCAACAGCGCGGTCACATGCCACAAGCCAAACTGCTTCAACTTCTGAAACGGTCCCATCAAAAACAGAAGACAAAAAGCTAAATCCCTGAGCAGCAGCCGAAAGGCCTCTGTGGCCTCGTCCCAATCCTCTTCCAAAACATCCTCCACTTGGCTTGAAGTGCAAAGTCTTTAATAGACACCGGAATAATAAAGGAGCTAGTGAATCGTATACGGTGCCGTGAGACTGCACTAGTGCTGCTTTTGCGGTGTTGCGTCAACAACAATGATGGTCCTTTTTGCCATCATCGGCATAGATGACGACCTCACGCGCCTTCTCCTCCCGCATTTCCAGAGAGAAGATGCTTCCAATGTATCCAGGCCCATCAAGCTTGCTCAAAAAAAGGGACAACTTATGAACGTGCCAGATCTATGTTAAGCTATGAGTAATCACGAAGAATCTAAACTCGCGAGTCCGTCAGCTTGAAGAAAAGTCGCAGGACGCAGTACCTCTCAAGCTTGAAAGCCTGGAGTGCTGATGACAGAAGCCGCAACAACCAACAATGCTGTGGTAAAACTGCTGCAGATCTGGATGCTGGCAGCGCACGCGATGGGGAAAATGGCCAGAGAGCCATCCAACTGTTCGTGAAGCTGTGCCCTGTAGCAGCAGGGAGGGAGAGAGAGAGCGAATCCACAAGCAATCAAGACCCATCTCCAAAATCATCGGCTTGTTGACTGTAAGATGAAGTACAGAATCCAGGTGAACGATACGAACCTCAATAAAAAGCTATAAAACCTATGAAAAGCATGAGAATTATCTATAATCTGTTAGACAGCACCGTGGCCCCGGCCAGGCACTGATGAAAGCAAATCCGGTAATGTGACCTCTGGGCGTGGTTCACTACGAGCAGTCTCCGAGCCCTTCCCAGACTTCTTCAGCAAGCATCAGACGATGGGCAACTCTAGCAGCATGTCCTCAATATGAGTCAAGGATTAAAGTTCATCATCTTTCGAATCCTTGGAACGTGAAGCCGCAAATCTTGGGGTGCTGCCGAGGATGACGGCCCAGCATTTCAAGTCAAGCTTGCGCTTGTTGTCGCCGGCCTCTCCCAGGCAACGAGGTGCGCCGGCTGCACTTCATCACAGGATTTTGGCAGCAAGAGGAAGTGCTTGGGCTGTGACTACAGGGTGTGGGAGGGGCGCATTCAGCGATGTTTGAGAACAGTTAGCGAGGTACTCGACAAATGAACGGCTGGTACACAATCATAAGTCTGAGTCTCCTCAAACATGTCAGTTCCTTACTGCATTAAGCAGCTGGCAGATGCGGGTGGATTCCAAGAGCACTTGCGAGCAAAGTAATGGAATCTCTGAGACACATGCACATTTTACTGCGCTTGCATAGCGGCTGCAAAACCTGAAAGCGTGTCAGGAGGGGCTTCGTTGGCTACACACCGCCGAAGCCCGAAGCATGGAAAATGTCTGTATAACAGCTTCGAATTACTTTGCAGGCATGCGCATATCTTAAAAGATGTTGGGATTCCACCACGCAAAATAAGAGATTTGGGTCTCGCCCCCTATAAGAGGTGCCATCCGATGGGCCATGCCACTCGACCCTCCTCGCCCCAGGTCTTCAAGGTTTTCTCGTCGGCCTGGAAGAAGCTTGCCACCTCGAGGTTCAGAGTGAATGGCTTGGGGTTTGGAGCTTGAACCAGGCTGAGACCCCTTGTCTATGTTAGGAATGCAATCCTCCCGGATTTTGCAAAACATTGCCACTCTCATATGAAGAGGTCAACTGGTCCCTGTACACCCTTTTTGGAATTTCAGATGAACTACAGCCAATCTTTCCCACATGAGTTAATGGACTCAAGATCCTGATTAGGGACTATACTGGGGACTATGCTTAATTACAAGAGGGACCCGTCCACTGTTAAGGGCCCCTTAGACAGGCTAATATTGACAGTAGCTCAGATAATCTCAGGACTGCGTACAAGGGAACCGGAGTGTTCAAACAAGCTCCAGCCTCCTTGCTGGCCAGTTCAGGCGCTTCCAGGATGCAATGGTGAGTGCCAGCCGCTATGGACACCAATTTTGCTTTGGGGGCCAAGCCTGACCAGGGACATGCCCAAGGAACTATGCAATGGAGGTGTCCTGTACTTAGAGGGCGTGGATTCAAAAGCTATGCCCCACTTGCCCCAGTTGCCGGCTTGCCCAATCCTACGGCAGGAGCTGATGAGGTTGGCAGGGACTGTTGAGCGTGGGGACCGAAATTACGGAAGTTCCGAGAAGGCGGGGTTGGTTCGAGAGGATCGATTCCCGATTGTTGAAATGTCAGCCCGATATCAAATTCGTCTTGCCAAAAAAATCAAGGCAAGTTCCCAACAAATTCCCAATTTTGTGCAGGGCCTGTCGTGGCATGTATGCGCGAGAGGAAAGGGCGAGTGGGGCGAGTGTATGGGACAAGCCAGTAGCCTTTTGAGTTTTGGGTCGCTGAACCAAGTAGGTAGGGTCATGTGTTCCTCATATGTTAAAGGAAATGCTTTCGCGTTTGTGGAGGGACTACAAATAGTATCCCAGAAAATTGTAATTCAAGTCGGGCGCGTCCCCTGCTGTGGGCATGTGAACTCAGGTAATCCCAGGATCTTTCACGTCCATTCACGACATCTTGTTGGGACAAACACGCAGAACTGAAGAACAAGCGGTTAAGGATTCTACTGCAGTTTGTTAGCTGATGCTGCCTGCGATCTCGTACTGAGTGAAGGCTGGTGTCATGAAGTCCAGCAATCCGCAGACAACCAGGGTAGGAATCTGAAGTTCTGGGAGTGTGTACGATGAGGAATGGCTGTCCAAAGCCTGCAAGATTCGCATCACGTTGTTGCAGTGTTCTGGCCCATGGCCTGTGAGGTCCAAAGCGTTCGACGCCATGGTGTACTCCAGGCTGGCAGACCCCAACAGGAAGCCGTTCAAGCGCTGAATGGTGGGCGATATGAGCTCGTTGAGCTTGACCCAAAGGTACTTGAAACGTTGAAACTGCTTGGCATCGTTGCAAATGTTGAACCTCACAAAATAGATCGCGCTAGACAGCAACCGCGACATAGTCGACAGGAAGAACAGCTGCGGCATGGGTTGGAAGGCGGTGTGCAACGTGTGGCCGTGAGAGCCGTTCACCAAGAAGATGCGATCAACGGTTTCTGGGAAAAGGCCGGCGTACTCGAGGGTGCACTGTACTCCCGTTGACCATCCACACACGGCATCCCATTTCTCAAGTTTGAGATGCTGCAGCAGGTCATAAGCATCCTCGCAGAGGGCCCTAACTGAATAGTTTGCTGTGCTAGTTGCAGCCTGAGACTTGTAGAGACCGCGATAGTCCCAGGTAATCACTGTCAGTTCTTCTCTCCAATCCTTTCCGAAGCAGTCGCTAAGAGAGTCTAGCAAGGGCTTCCACAGCAAATAGGAGCAATTCACCCCGTTGCAGATGAGGACCTTCTTGGGCCCCCGACCCTCAGAGCAGTAGTGCAGGCTCAGGCCGTCACGATTCAAGAACTTGCCATTCTCGGAAGGCTCGTTTTTCGCAATGGCCTGCCAAGTTCATTCAGCCATGCACTTTGATTTAAACTTGGGTCACTTTGGGCTCTTTGTTCTTGCTGCTACGCTACTTCTTCTGCTCTGGCTAGCATTCAGCAGCCCATCCCTCTGGCCTTCAGCACTTTTTCCTCAAGGCCGCCAGGCCCAGTCCAGGCGGGCAGCAACTTGGCGCAAGAGTTTTGGTAGACCTGGTATTTTGTATAGACCCAGAAAATGAGCACGGGCCAGAGAATGGGGATCACCAGGCACAGGAAGCCAGCAGAGCAAAGAAGGAAGAGCTTCATCCAAGAGATGACGTTTGCCAAGGCGCTGTGAAGCAAGTACTGCGCCATCACACGAAAGTAGAGGCCGGTGCCGAAGCACCACAAAGACTTACCGATCTCTGCAGGTGTACTTGTCGTCATACTTGTCGCCATGGCTAAAGAAACTCAAGGAGACTTGTGCACCTCGTAAGAAGCCTGCTGGAGCAACAAAACTGAGGTTATCTGGATGGAGGGACGTCTCAATGCGGGATACCTTCAGAGGTTTTCTTTTTTTCATACCCAGGAAATGCCATGTCCGACATGGGTACAACATGGATAGCTGTACCGCAGCCAACGTCATTATGCAACACAGATTGGTTCTGCAGGGAATACATGAAGGCTGATGTCCATGTTGGACCACATGCTCGTGAGAATGCTCAGATTGGATCTCAGCACCCAGAACCGAACCTCAGACCGATCCAGCTTTCCAGACCATGGCCAAATGACGGCTCCTGACCTCGGAAATACTGGCAGTTGTCATAGCAGGAACTTACAATTACTTGGTGGTGGGGGAATGCGAGTGCTTGTCGCTGCGCCATGTGTGTTGTTTAGTTTATTGGCTGTGTGCTGCATGGCGTTTGCTCATGCTGGGTGGAGATGTGTGCCGGGTGGCGGCAGTGGTGGGCGCGCAGCGGTGGCGGCAGCAGCAGCTGCAGCAGCAGTAGCAGCAAAGTAGTAGGAGAGGACTAGGAGTTGTTGCAGCAGCAGCAGCAGCAGCAGCAGTAGTAGTAGTAGTAGTTGTTGTTGTTGTTGTAGCAGCAGCAGTAGTAGCAGAGTACTTGCAATAGTCGTAGCAGCAGCAGCAGCAGCAGCAGCAGCAGTAGCACGGGCAGCAGCAGTGGAAGTATTCGTAGCAGTAGTAGAGGAGTAGTAGTAGTAGTAGTAGTAGTAAGTAGGGGTGGTGGTGGTGGTGGTGGTGGTGGTGGTGGTGGTGGTGGTGGTGGTGGTGGTGGTGGTGGTGGTGGTAGTATGTTCTCTTCAAATTTCAGTTTGGCCGCCGCCGCTTGTCACAGCTCTTCCAAGCTAGGCAAAGTCACAGCATTTGTAGTACTTTCTGGCTTTGTGCTAACTTAATGGGATTGACGGGTGTTTGAAACTGAAGCAAGACCAGCGAACCCCTGGCCTAAAACCAATGGTCGGCCACATCTTTGCAACCAACCTGAAACAGAATGACATTCTGTTGAATTTCGGTTTGGTCATTTTGGATGTCTTCAAATTTTGAAATTCATACTAACTTTCTGTTGAGACTTTCAGTTTGGAAGCGAAGTTGTGTTCGGCGAAATAGACTGAAGAAAAGGTTCTTGACGGTCTTGCTTATGATCTGAAACACCATCCCACCCTATTCACTGAATACTACGCCACAAAATACTGTAGATAGCAGCGGCGGCTGGGTTTGGAAATTCCTGTCAATGTAATTTGCATGAATATCCACAAAACACAAAACGCCCAGGCGTGCTGTAAAACTGTGACCTAGTGGTAGCCGTAGCAGTTGTTGGCGACGGTGGCTGTGGCAGTGTTGTGGCAGTAGCTGGAGTAGCAGCGAAAGCAAGAGTGGTAGCATCGGCATGACACAGCAGGAAAAGCAAATGCGCACCGAGGGTTCGAGCACCGCAAAATGTAGCTCAGTTGCCAGCACTGTGGCCAGAAAGACCTGCAAGATCACGAACCACACGATGCTGTGCGCAAAGGCCACCTGCGAACGAGCTGGCGTGTCCAAAGATGTTAGCAAAGCTGCTGCTGCGCTCCTGCTACTAGGTCACGGCACTTTATTTTGCCGTGTGCTATCGCAGCTCAGGTGCTTTAAAAAACACTGGTAATTTTCAGGGTCAAGAAGCGCCCCGTGAAAAACTACTTGGTTTTTTGGATGAATTCTTCGTTGTTTACTTCTAGTCCTTTTCGGTCGTCATGTTATCAGGCTAGGAGGCAACGGTACTAAAAGCATACCTAATACGCAGACCTCCAAAAAATACTTGGCTATTCCTACTGAAGGTCTGCACAAATGAGGCTTTTTGGATCAATAAAGACCTTTCTGTTTCACAAGTGGGGTCGGTTAGGGTTCAGAAGGAGATCTCTCAACAATCAACTGGCTACTACGGCTACTAGGTATACACGGTCCGCGAACGGCCGTGGATTTTAAACCCGATTTGTGTGCCGAAATTGGGGTGTGCAGGGAATTCAACATTCTGAAATGGCAAGAGACTAAGTTTGGGTTTGATAGCTTTGGTCCGTTTTTGCATAGAAGGGGCCATTGGTGTTGCATATGTTCAGCATTATTTCTATTTTCGTACTGATCAATTCAAGGTTCAAAGTCTTGTGGGGGGTTTGGGCTTTGAGTTTGCTAGCTTGCTCGGTTGACTGTCTGGGGTACTGGGTGCAGGGTCAAGAAGGTAAGACGTAAAGCAACAGCCGTATACACTCTCAAATATGAGGCCCCCCAAGCTCAGCAGCACCCATTTGCCATTTGCTAATCTCAGAGATCTGCGGGTACAGAGGACATAAACATGATGAAGGCTCGGGGGCGAGTTGCTGGAACTTCAGCCTTCTTGTTTACAAACTACTTTCTGGATTCTGAAGCCTCCTCCATATGCTAGCAGGCGCAGTACTTTGTTGACTAGATGCGTCCAAATGCACCAGTAAGAAAAAAAAATAAACAATCACAGCCTTCACATAACTTCTCACGCATGATCACGGATCTCGAACTTTGTCGTAGAATGCATGGCTGTAATTTAAAAAGCACAGCAAGCAGTGAGAAAAACTCGAATGCGCCGAAGCAAGGGTTTTGAGCAACCCACCGAACGCAAACGAAGAAGCGGAAAAGCTGCGGACGAAATCGCAAACACAAACATTTGGCACTTCCACACCCGCAAACACGAAGGGACAAGCATTGACAAAATCTCGAACGCGCCGAGGGTTTCGAGCGTTTTTCACGATGTGAAAACGTCGACGGCGGAAATGCAACGGAACCATGCCAAAAAAGAGGAAAAGCTCGGAAAGGCCGCTTTGTAAATTTGATGAACAATCAAATAAAATGTTGCAGAAACTGCGGTTTTGCGCGCATGAGAGCGAAAACATCCAAAACCAAAATTCGACACTTTTGAAAGCGAGCATTTTCAAGCTTGCTAAGCCAATACCCGTGCTTGCTAGCGAAATGCCGGTTTTAAGACCACTAATAGAGCACACCAATTACCACTACCTTATGGTCCTCAAGATGAAGTTCCACGAGACTGGCCCCTGCCCAGTCAAAGACCGGGTATGCGCTGCTTGAGGCCTTGCCATTGAATACCCCACAAAAGTTGGCACGCAAATGACTTGGTAAGAGGATTTCTCATTCCCGCCGCTTTTAACATGCTCGTCATTTTTGGTAGCTCAATTAACGAGATCCAGGCCATAAAGACACGAAAAGCCACCAGAAGCGGGCATCCAGACAAATAGACAGGCATGCATATCTACATCCCTAAATGCCTACACGCGATTACAAGCGTATGTCCGTACGCACACACTTACATTCTTACATGCCTACCTACATGCGTACTTGCTTACATTCATACCTTCATACTTTCAAATATTGAATTGACACATGAAGACATACAAACAGACAACAATGTGTACAATACATTCATACAAATACGCACACAATGATACATAAACAACACTGTAGACATCAGAGATGAAAGCATGATTATGCTGGCACCTCCATGGCGCTGACAGTCGAGGAGCCTTCAAGAAACATTGCCTTGACTGCGTCATTGACCGCCTTCGGACAGGAAGAGCTGGGGCCGCAAGAGGCAGGGCTTGCGTGCAAACATGCAATGCCTCAAGAGAATCCTTCCAGCAGTTCCCAAGCAAGCCAGGAATGGATTGATAGAACCAGCTTGGAACTCTTGATGGCTACAGCGGCAGTGTCGGCAGAGTACCGCCACGTCCAAAAGATTGGGAACATGGCTGCATATAGACGGGCTTTACAGGTTGAAGAGACTGCTGATGCAAGTTGATTTTCATGGCTTCTTGCATAATGACACCTTCCCTTTAGAAAATCAAAAAGCCCAAACAAAAAGCTATCCAGCTTACCATGTACCGCCTGGTAGATCAGCACTGACACGAAGATCGAAATTGTGGCGCAAATTACCTTGCAGTTAAACAGGCTCTAAGTCACAAAACATTCACACCCCGGTTTAGCGTCGCACAGAGCAACGTCAACGAACGTCGCATCTGTAGTTTGGCGTCCACTTCTGCAAGGGCTTTCACGCCCAACGGCAACACTATCACTTCGACAGGCTAGTGCTTATCTGCTCCCTATATACCTGATAATATGCCATGCATCCCACTATAAGAACCCATATATAATCACATGTATATATATATATGGATTTTTGAATGTATCCCCTGCCCAAGAGGGCATGAAGACCCGGTCTGGAGGCTTTGCTTCAGGTCACCCCACAACATGAGGTTCAACAACACCTATCTTGGCAGTACGAGAAAGCAAGTACTTGGTAGCACACAGTAAGAGTGGGAGCTGCAATGCTTCTGTTGTTTTGGCATGGCAGGCTAAAGGCACCTTCCAGGTGCATATCTGCATCTCTTTGTCCTCATGGTTGACCTTTGTGCAGATTGCAACGAGTAAGCCTCTACTACCTAAGCCACAAAAAAGGCAAGGAGCAGTGCTGACTCCCACCTAGCAGAATTACATGCCCAGCATGTCTGGGCTCTTATTCTCATCTGACCTGTTCAACATTACAAGGCTTCCTGCCTTGGTGTCGGCCATCAGCCGTCCCATGTGTCTCTGAGCAACAGGCTAAATAAAAGATGCCCATCATGAAGCCGATGCTACCCAGCAGCATGACCTCAATGGGTACCATGGAAAGCCAGAGACATTGCCCATGCGAAATGCTTGCACCATTCAGCTCTGCTGCAAATAAAACCGGACCACCTACAATAACCCATCCTGAACATTGCTGCCAAGCTCCGTGATATGCAACCAAGGCACAGCAATTCCCAAATTGACGCCGGTTTCCTGGCGATTCATCTCATATGCTGTTCGGCCCAGGGCTGTATGACAAAATGAGTCGAGTTGTCCAGTTGGGCACATGTGGAGATGTGGAGCGATGTGCATCAGCGCTGTGCTGCATCTCAGTCGTCGAGGCGCGGTGGACTTGCAATGTTCTCCCTGCCCTTTGGCCTCATCGCTTATTGCGGAGGCAGTTGACACCTGCACGGCCATCAGCAGCCAGACCTGATCAGCAAGCTCAAGAGCTAACCTCCCCTGTTTGCTTGACGGAGCCTGGTGGGTGCTTCAAAAACTGCACGAGCATAAAAAGATCTCTTGGTTCGCAGCAAAAACGTTGGCCGGCCGCATTTTGGCCACGTCCGCAGTACGGTTGACTGCACACAACACATGTCTTTAATGTCAACTTCAACACTGCCGCAGTTAGCAAGTTCAGGTCATCTGCCACAAAACGCTGCCTAGGCAACCGCAACAGCCAGCGTCAAAGCAAAGCTGGTGCCATGCATGCCAGCAGGCTCAGCAGGCTCACAGCTAGGCGGTTTTCATACTCTGCAATCCTAGTGGAGCTGGCTGGGGCACTGCAAATCCTTCCCAAGTTGGCTGGAGGCTGCACGTTGACTGATCTACGACAGCATGTACTGCAGCAGATTGCAGATGGTTTGCACCCAGTCCATGGGCAAAGCTGACCATTTCAGAACCAGGCGTTGGCATTGCGGCGTGCGCATCTCTTGACACTCTGTTGTTGCTGTTGGTGTGGTCATTCCCTTTGTTTTGAGATCAGAACAGAGACCATCACTCTGAATGTTCTGAACGGAGCAAGCCAGCAGAAACATTGTCTTTTCGAGGCTTGTGTTGGCGCTCTTACGCCAGGGATCACCTGACTGACGGCTTGATGCTCGAGAGCTAACCTTCTACCAGTGGCACTGGCATGACACGTGGTGCAAGGTACCCAAATCATGATCTTGACAATATACTTGCTCATGCATCTACAAGGCATATTGGGTCTTTCCTTATGATTCTCCATCTCTGGCCGCTCACTACTGCAGCCAGGATGGTAGGTATGGAAGGCCCAAGTGGAGTGATCGTCAAGACTCTTGTCATGGTAGTAATTCTTGCCTTGAACACAGAAGTCAAAAATCTGCTGAAGCTGACCCTACATCGGGAGGAGCAGCTGTGAAATCTCTAAAAGCTTGCCTCAAGTCTCTCTCCATTTGGAGGAAGTGACTGAGGAGCAAGAAGCTTGAACTGGTATTTGGTTGTTTCCGAAAATCTAGGGCCTCTAAGGGAATCTAGTATCCACTTCTAGTGTACCTTTGCAAGAATCCGCCCCATTTTCAGAAAACTCCCACTGTCCTCATCTTCGTGCCGTGGTGGCATGCATAGACTTCTCTGGGGCTGTGATTGTTTGCTTCCTTACTATCCACACCCTCTTTGGGCAAGAAGTCTCAGGATCAGCCGGAAATGGGCGCGGCGACACTGCCGCACCGTCAAATCTACGCATCATCCTCTGGTAGCAACTCCAAGCTGCAGTCCAGCTTCGAGCCCTTAGCATTGCATTCAACAACTGCTTTGAATGCCCCTTCGGCTACGGTCAGCTTCACAGCGCTCATTCGAATGTCCAGACTGCAGCCAACATCCCGACACACAGAGGGAGGCTCTCCGGCTGGGGACTCGAGTAGATCTCAAAGAGTTTGATGTTTCCAGCAAGAACCTGCTTTCCAGCCTAGCCGATGTATGCCCTTTCGAAGCATCTGCTGGATGATAGCATGAGGTCGTGAGAGGTAATATGGTAGCCAAGAGGCTAAGGTATCCGGAGCCTTGAAGATCTTGGCTGGCGAGCTTTTGCTCACACCACCTATGCGAGCAGCAACGTCGTGCAAGAAGCCACCGAAAGTTAGGCGGTACACGAGTTACTTTGATGCATTCATGGGCACCTCTTTAACACACTGATATAGTCACCTCCTAACGCTCTTCTGATTTGGCGGGAGTTAAAGCACTCCGTGTGGCCTGGAGTCAGCACCGACTTGATACTGCGCAGCTCATCCTCAAGCAGAACTTGACTGCCAAGCAATGGAAAAAAGCAGAAGAAATGGCAGCTTTGAAGAGTAGGCGAAGCTCTGAGGGCTCAGGTTTCACAGAATCTGCAGCTCCCCACATATACCCAAAAAACAACGAAGATCCTAGAAGCCACGACGGAAGGAGAAAAGCTGTCTTCGGAGCAAGCACATTTCAGAGTACAGCCCAAATAATACTTGCGAGACCCTCAGGCCATATTGAGGACACTGTCTCCCTTCAGCTGCTCCACTGCTCAAGCTACAGTGGGCCTTCATGACTGATGGTGCTGTACAACTGGCACTACATGATGCTTGTCATGCCGAAACATGAAAGAACGTGTCACCCTAGGGGCGCAGATTTATATGTATATACATATACACACGCACGCAAATTCAGATGGGGATGAAGATGTTACGCTAGGTATAGGGTACAACGGTACAACTAACTACGTCAAACATCCTTCGTCCTTCCCACAGGCCACGGCAAGTCTCTTCAGCAATTTTTCTCAAGCCGCGCCTCAATAAATGAGCAAAGGAAGTTGAACTTGGCGCTAAACCTTAGAAAGCACCGTCCACTTCACAAGGCATCGGGTGTTTGACAGTGACACTGCAGGCAAGAGGCCGCACTTGGTCGAACCTGACCGACGGGGGATCAAATTAATAGTAATGACTTATCATATCTTGCCCTACCCAAATCTGGAACAATAGTTCTCACATCAAAGCACAAAACTGTGGTTGATACACTGATGAGATCAAGTGACAAAGGATACTTGTGACGGCACTCAACGTAGCAATAAACTCAGGAGTGCTGTGCAGTCGGTTCTGAAGCCCTAGTCATGTCTTTCAGCATGGACTCCTCATGCAGGAACTAAATGATCCGTGATGCATGGCCTGTTCTCAAAATTCTCAAAACTATGTTGTCCGCTTGGTCTCGCACAAGATTAGGGGCCAGAAAGCAGCGTACTCAGACAGGGATAACAATTTTGACGACTCATGAGTATACCCAGAGGTGCAACCGCCACATGTTAGACTGCAGGTCGCGAAGCTCTCTACTTGCTCTCTAGCGTATCAAGCAGGTCCACAAGCAGTTCTTGTGGCCAGATCAAGACACATAGAAGATTGTTTCTCGGGATGCTGGATGTCGAACTCCAGTTTCAGGCAGGCAACATCAGCAGAAGCATGTCCACACCTCAGATTTGGTCACTTGGCAAACCGCTTATCAGAACCAACACGCCATGATCATGTGTGCAACAGCATTTCAAGCAAATTCTAGCACCACAGCAGTAACAGCAGCTCTGACAGGAGTCATGGCAGCGGCGGCAAAAGGAGCTGCAACGAAACAACAGAGAGGAAAAGAGGAAAAAGAAGCGCAAGAAGCAACAACAACACCAACACCAACACCAACACCAGCAGCAGCGGCGGCGGTGGCTGCGGCAGCAGCGGCGGTAGCAGGAGGAGCAGCAGCATCAGCAGCAGCAGCAAAGCTGACGATAAAGACTGAACGGAAACAAACGATCTTGGGGCCCGAAACACGGAGGTTGATGGAAGCAGGGAGGTTTGTAATAAGGGTGATGTGGGTGGTTGAAAGAAAACTTCCGCTAGAATTATGACGAATACAACAAGCACAAACCGGCTCAAACATCCATCGATCAACCGGCCAGGCAATTGCACCAACTGAGGCTGACTGCTAACATGAAACCTGTTCTGTGTGCCGTAAGCGAGAGCCCAGTCCCTTGCAAACATGTCTCGTTTACGAGATCAACTTCTACCCACACAAAAATCAACAGGTATCATCACAACGAGAGCGAACCAGGGCAAAGAATGTTGACAGCAACCCCTACATAATCCTCATTATATCTTGCTAATTCCTGTGTGATCCTTGTCCAATCCCAGACAGGGCGGATTCATAGCCAGACCTTCGCATCTTGAAAGCAAAAGAGCCGAGTAGCTTTTGGCTGAGCCCTTCAACTTCATTGTGCCATCTATAAACTCGTCAGCTGTAACCTCGATGCAACAGCAGCATGTAGACTTCGACGCGCGTCCACACCCCATCATGTGTTGGTTCTGGGTCGGGTGTGGGGCATCTACTCAAAGGCTCCCAAATTTGGAGAAGCCTAGTCTCTGAAAATACGTTCTTGGTCGTCTGGGTGAATTTCAATCGACAATTTCAGCGACGGCCCTGCATGCGATTCCGTCATGTGCACCAACAGCCGCGGGCAGTTCTTGCCAAGGCGCAGTCCCATTGTGGTCCGTGTCCTCAGCACTTCATAACATGTTGCTACGTTCTCGCGATCAAGCCTTGCTGCCCGACACCATCACTAGAAGCAAAGGGTTGCAAGTGTGTCTGGCAGGTCTGCTGCCCAAAAAGGCTCAGCATCAGACGCTCTCACAGCCACTGCAACATGCTGAGAGGAGTATTTCCACATCGACAATTCACCCATCTGGAGGCGCGCGATGCGACAATGCCAAAAACCACACAACACGGCAGCAAGAGCTGGATCGCTTGGTCAGGAATCCACCAATTCTTGAAAAATGCGACGATTCCGCGACATGTGTTTCTTTTCTTACACGTGCCATTCTTTAAGATAATGCCAAACTAAGGAGGCCACCATGAGTGTGAAGATGATCGCAGCCTGTGAACCCGACAGCTTTCAGCTGGCTTTCTGCCAAGGAGAAGCCAGACATTGCTTCATGACATTACGCAGGAACATGCACAGCTGCCATGTTCACCCTAAAGTCTCCGCCTCATTGGGATCGATGTCCAGGCCGTGAAAGTATGCCTGCAGCAAAACCAGCAAAGATGAAGCGCTCAGAAGCTCAGATGGAAGCAAATCTGGTCATGACAGCAACTTGCAAAGCTAGCTGTCTGACCCCTACTCTCCGTCAGGTTCACAACGTCTACGCAGCGCAACAGAACAACAAAACAAAGTCTGCACAGCTCAAACCCAACAAGGGGCCTTCACCCAAGGATTGCTAAGCTGATCCTGCAAGGGCATCGGGGAGTCTCATGACAAACAAACTTCTGGCCACTCATAATATACTCAAACCCTCTCAGTCCTTGAGCTGCTCATAGGTAAGAGCCCCTTTGCGTTCTGTGTCTGCCTGGTCGCATGGGGCGATCGCAGTCTGCGGGATGATGGGAGTGTGGCACGCCTGTGTGGCACGACCTTCCAGATTACTGGCCAGCCTCATTGAAGATGCGCCTGACTTCCCGGCAACGTGAAGCCATCTGATCCTTGGTGGTTCCAGGTTCAAGAGAGCGCTCCATACTGACCAAGCTTGTGCCAATCGACCAGTTGAAGAGGCTATGGCTTGTGCATGTGTGGCTCTTTCAAATGCGTTGAGGTGACCCTGCATGCGCTCAGCAACCACATAGCTTGGAAGACTGCTCAGCTTGCCGAGAGACGGTGAACGCATCCACAACCTCATCCTCAGTCCGTGTAGAGACGGCGGAGTCCACAAATATGCCTGTGACCACCTGAGTCAGCATAATCTGTCTGACACATCACATACAGAGGCTTATTCCGGTCTGAGGCAGCAGCATTCAGGAGACCAATCATGCAGAAGGCAACCTGAGCTGATGTTTGTCTCCAATGCGGCCATTCTACACGACGCCTGGTGCCTAGACAGCACTCGGCAAGCAGCCGCAGAACTTAGCGACCAACTACAAGTAGGTGGAGTCCACAAAACCACATAGAGTCAAGCGGCATAAAAGCCGAACACCATGAAGTAAAGCTCTCCAGTGATGTCTGACTCATCAGATCGTAGTCTCCTGGATCATGCATCACAGGCTACAGCAAGTCTTTCGTTTTGTACCTAGCATCGAGAACATTTGAGAACTATGAAAGTTAAGCCGAAATGCAGGCGGTAATAATCAAGTGATGGCATTCAAAGGGCTTTGTCTTGCCTCAGCATCTCACCGTACATCATCCAGTCGTTCCCGCCTGTTACAGCGCCTCAGCGACATGACAGTTCCACAACTCATGACATGTCTGGAGCCAGGAAACTCAGCGCACACCCAAACTGTCGAACAAAGGTGATTCTAGTTTCCCTGCTTTACACTCGGTCTCCCCTGTGCTTCTTTCGGTGTCTTCTGCCGTGCGTTCAAGGCTCCACCACACTTGGGAACCCTCCGCACTTTGAGGAATTGCTTTCAGTGCTCTACCTTCTGGCACCTTTCTACCAACCTGGCCTCCCGCCAAAACAACAGCAAGAAAAGCATCGGGACCGATCGTGCAGGCTCTGGCAATCAGATGTATACAACGGTTGAAGTAAGGATGTGAATGGGAGCAATTCAACTGCTGCTTTTGGTCAAGCAATGAAATTGGATTACCACGATCTTGTTGCATGGCAGAAAGAAAGTAGAAAGAGAGAGGGAGAGAGAGGGAGAGAGAGAGTTGCATGTGCTCAGGCTTCAGTA